CATACATACATGCTTGTAACTAAATTAATGAATCATATCTGTTTTGAAATCTTCTATTAATTTCATAATCAGATGAAACGTTCTGCCAATTACGAGTATTATTACTCCAATAATTATGAAATTAATTTAGGCCCTTACGTCGATTAAAATAAAATACACGCATATAACTAACACTTATCGCTTGTACGAGCTCGCTGAATCGTTTGAAGTTTATTTGGCTCGCCTCGAGTATCTTTAAGCTGTGCAGCAGCTGATAGCTGTGATCTCATTATTTTTTCAGGATTCGGTTTGCGACCCCTGGGCCTCGGCGATGACGCAGTTATGTTAATCAGTTATCCTGGAGAGCTCTTCATGAGGTTGTTAAAGTTAATGATCCTACCGCTCGTGATCGCTAGTCTTATATCAGGTAACCTCAGCAAGTGGATATGTATAATTTCCCAACTGATTCACTCTCTTCAGTGTTCGTACGAAGAGTGGATCGATCATCTCCGTAATTATTAGATAGCTAAAGGTTAATCGGGAACGTTTCAGGTTCGGCGAGTTTGAACGCGAGGATGAACGGCATGATCGCCGTACGAACTTTGGTGTACTTCATACTGACATCGCTGCTAAACGCTGTCCTTGGCGTCGTCCTGGTTCTGCTCATCCATCCGGGTAATCCAGGGATCAGAAAATCGATCGCGACCTCGCACAGCGGTAGAGCCGTTAACATCTTGGACAGTCTTCTCGATTTGGGAAGGTACGTGCGTTACCGATACCGCGATCTTTTACTTTGCCGCGAGGTGTACAGTTGGAGGATATCGATCACCGGACTCGTTATTTCCGAACGCTTGCGTCAACACGTACGACGGACGGATGATGTTCCGGTAATTTTCCCACGATAAAACCGGAGTCCTTTACCCCGTCGTCTGAGCAACGGTCGACTCGTTCCACTGTGCTATATGCCTCGTCCTATAATCGGGATATCGTGCCAGCTCTCGCTGTATTCGCGTGTTATCAGATTATTCTCCATCGATTCCCTAGCTATCCTTTATCTGAACTTCAGTCGTCGTGCCCTTCAACCATCGTTTCCAATGCCCTTCAGCAAGAAATTCAATCGGCGTACCCGAACTCGCCTCTCGCGCCTCCACTTTTCGGATTTGTACGACATTTCAATTAAAATACGTAAAGGTCGGTCTGACGATCGGCGAACTTCCCCTAACAATCGCGGGAACAAAAATAAAAACCGATATTGATCTCCGTTCGTAAAGAAGTCCGAAGGTATAGCCGTTATTGTGCACACCGTCGACTAATGGAATTGCACGCCGTGCTCGCCGATAAACATAGCCATCGATTGAACTATAATAATAAAAAGTATAACGCCGTAGACTGGAACTTCTTTTCTATTGCGTGTTACAGGAACATGTTCCCGGACAATATTTTCCAAGCAGCCTTTCAGCAGGTACGGCCATCAGCTTATAAGACAACGTTTACGTGCCGCGAGTTAATCGATATAAGCTGTCGTCTGATATAATGTATTCTTAATTGATTCACCATCTGCTCGCGAGCTGTTCGTTTCTCACGTTAAACGTTCTCTGTTAGGCGCACACGGTATACGTTCCGAAAACGCAGCCGTTCCGGAATCTCACCGACGCGATGTCTACGGAGGTCCTCGGGGACGAGGAACTGATGAGGGTGACGCAGTACAGGAGCGGCACGAACACTCTGGGCATAGTGTTCTTCTGCCTCGTGTTCGGCACGTTCCTAGGTACGCTGGGCGAGAAGGGCCAGATCGTGATCGACTTCTTCAAGGCTGTGTTCGAAGTCATCATGCGAATGGTGTCAACCGTGATGTGGTAAGTGGTTAATAATATCGTGATTTATATTTTACTTGAGAGACACCCTGTATTCTACTAGCAGTTGCAGTTCACCAGTAAAAAATCACGATTAATTTGTTTGCAGGATGACACCGGTGGGCATCACCTCGGTAATAGCTGGTAAAATATTGGGCGTGGCAGATCTGGCGCTGGTGATGTCGCAACTCGCCTGGTTCATCGTAACGATCGTGGTCGGTGTGTTTTTCTATCAGCTGGTGATCATGCAGCTGATCTATTTGGCCTTCGTGAGAAAGAACCCCTTTAAATTCTACGCCGGCCTCGCCCAGGGCACGCTCACCGCCTTCGCCATGGCTTCAACGTGAGTCGTCGACCTTCGAACTCAGCCCGACCTTCAGAGTACCCATGTCGCCTATGTACACCTCACATGGCCTCGGTCGTGTCATCGTTTCTCATTTGATCGATTATATTTTTCGTAACCGATCAACTTATCGATTCAGAACAGAAAGATTCACGCACGCGGTTCTCTTTCTTTCCGAATTTCCTCCGCACCGCGTATCTTCTATTCTCTTCTTGTTTGTCTTTTCTTTTTTTTTTTTTCTTTTTTTTATTTCTCTCGCGCGGTTAACGAACGTTTGAAAAAACTGCAAGGCGAACAAGACTCGTGAAACAGGTCGACGAACGGTCTGAAATCGATTGATAGAGACAGTATGTTTCAGCCAGCCGAGAGGAGGCATTGCGAGGCCTAAACTCCCATAATACCCGTCCAGACTGAATCCCGTTCGAGCAGCGTTTCACAACGGCGTCTGTTCGCCGAACGACGACGACGACGACGACCCGGCTCGTTGTCGAACGCTGACGATGTCCCTTCTTTCCCGTCCGCCTCCCTGTCGCGTTCTTTAAATGTTCACCGCGTTGCACGCGGGGAGAACTCTTCGTGACCAATGAGAAAGAGAGAAAGAGAGAGAGAGAGAAAGGGAGAGAGGTATGCAGCTCTGGGTGGCACTTAGGATGCGGATACTCCCGGTTAGTAGGAACTGTGCGCGAACTTTCGGTGATTGTTCTCCAACACGTAGATAGAAAATCTCAATACGCGACACCGAAATTTCGATGAAGTTTGATATCAGACGACGAATGAGAAAACATGACTAACCCATTAATTGCTCGCAGCCTCGTGTGATTGTCTCGCGTGATTCTGTTCGACTCGTGACAATGAATGGGTTAATTGAAACAGGGAATAGAGACCGGTACGTGTGTGTTTATGCACGGGCGCGGAAGCGTTCGGTTACGTCCGTGCGTGTTTAGCCGGAAATCAGCTGACTCCGTGTCACCTGGACTGGATTCTTTGGCGTGGACGCCTCAGGGGCTTCCAATTATCCGAATCCTCTGTCCCTCGGCGTATCGGCGAAGGACAGACGAGGACGAGAACCGCCGAAACACAAAATGGCTTCGTGCCGACGATTATTACGTTACGTTAAGCACCTTTATTAATAATTGTCCAACTTCCAACGAGTGAGAAAAGGGAAGCTGAAAAAAATATTGATTGCTCGCGTCGAGCCCGCCCAATTCCAGGTTTGCCGGCGCCGTCCATCACTGGCCAGAACGACCCGAAACCACGATTCTATTCTCGTATCTTTAACTTGTTCATTAACGCGGATCACGCGAAGCAACGATCATTTTTTCAGTTTGTCCGTTACCGACGTCCTACTCAGATTCCTTCTCCGAGTGGATGTTTCCACGTGGCCATTGCTAAGCCCGTTTCGAGATGGCAGTCGAGGAATTGTTGGTTCGCCCGGGAAACGCGTAGTGATTTTTATAGAAAATGGCAGCGTATTTAAATTTCGATATACTTTCACTTATCGATTTATCGAATTATATATATAGTAAATGTTCCAATTTCTATTGAACATGTCAATTTCTAACATCACCTTTTGGGATGTGTGTCATTCGTTATCAATAATATACTCAGATCTGTCCAAATTCATCTACCGAAAATCAGAACTTCCCGGACAACCTAGTATGAATCGTGAGCTGTTCAGATGGGGCGAAACGATGGCCAGTTTGAAACATCGCGCGTTCCTTCCTTCCCGTTTTCCCATCCGATGCATCGTGGGACAGAGAAGCATTCGTTCGTGTAAAATATACCGCCAGTCGATCGATGATACCAATCGCGTTTCGCCCTATTTACGTACTGAACGTCGAACCTTTTCCGTCCCATAATTGCGGCGCTACAAAGACAAAAGAGAAAAAAAAGATCCCCTGCAAACGTCTCTAATTCAACTTGTTTTCTATGTGGATTAACTTTTTCCAGAAATGAGATCGTACACAACTGTGCGTACACACTGTGACTGACAATGAGAGAAAAACAGAGCTCTTAGAGTGTATACTGAACAGAGAACTGTATGAATATCATGATGATGTATTAGAACACGCGCTGCACGCGGCCTTTTGCAGGTGGTTCACTGAACAGAGAGGGTGGCCCTGGTAAGTAATCGATGGCCGCAACCATGAAGGTACATGCGTACGTTGTGTCTGTTACAGGGACCGAGCCAAGGCGGCGGGTTACGCGTTAACGAGAGTTATCTCGCAACGAACCTCAGACAAATTAACCCCTGGTTCAATTTTTCAGTTTCGCTATGCGGTCATTCTGGTCACTTAAACGATCCTCTAACGATAATGCCCTTTCTGTTACCACTTTGGCGCCGCTCTATCAATTGACCTCTCGAACTCTCTAAACCTATCATCGCAACTTCTAATCGTTCGCTTCGAGATTCGCGCGATTCACATCTCTCATTATCCTTCACGATTCTGATCACGAAAACAGTTCCGTTACATCTGATTGTTGTGAAAGAGTTAGACTGCGCCAGAATGACCCGTTCGACTCGACGATGGACAGCGGCCATGCAGCGCGCGGATTTTATATGATCGCTTTTCTTATACCGACCCGCGACACTCTCTGCCCGAATTTTACTAACGCAGATTTGTACAGGGCCGCCGCGCTACCCGTGACATTTCGCCTGATGACGGACAAGCTACGGGTCGATCCCCGCGTAACGAGATTCGTTCTCCCGATCGGATGCAACATTAACATGGACGGGACCGCGCTGTTCGTTGCCGTCGCTAGTATATTCATCGCGCAAATGCACGGCATCTCTTTGGGCTTCGGCGAGATCGTCACTGTTATGTAAGTCGATTTTTATTCCAAGCTAACGAGAGTACAATCGGAAAATTTTTACATATTTTTCTATAACATTCTTTTTTGGTCCGACAAATATTTCGATCGCCTATGTAAAACTTTAGATCTCCTCGAATTTAAACCTCTACATTTTGATGTTCGCTTTTTAAGTTTGACCTCGACCGCCGCGTCCGTGTCATCGGCATCGGTTCCAAGCGCGGCCTTGGTCTTGCTACTCGTTGTCCTAAGCGCCATCGACGCTCCCGTTTACAACGTCTCCTTATTATTCACCATCGACTGGTTCGTGTAAGTATCGCTTTCAAAAAAATTTTTCTCTACATCATTAATTTTTAATAATTTCTTCAATCATAATTAAATATATTTTCTTTATTTAGGGATCGCATTCGAACCACGAACAACATGTTGGGTGATTGTTACGCGGCTGCCGTCGTCGAGCAGTTATCTAAGAAGGAATTAATGGCGCTGGATGCTGCGGCTTACCAGGTACTTACAATTTTCTTTTACCCTTTGACTACTTTTGACGCTTAAAGGCGCTTAAAAACAGTGCGAATTTCGCACTTCCGCTTGAGGTTTAAAATTCGAATGAAAAAAAAAATTTTTATTATTTCCTGTATTTGCAGTCAGAGACTGTTCTGCCCACAACCATCGCGAACGGATGCATATCCGCCAACAGGGTACCTGATCCGGACACGATAGTCGTCGAGATGCAGGACGACAGCACGAGGATAGCCGGTGTCGCCAAGTAAACAGGCTTGTTGATAGGGCTAGGCCATCACTTTGTAAGAACCCAACGATCGCGTGCATTTTACGTTACCTACACGTCCCTCTGTCTATTCTGCTTTCGCTCTAACCGCAAAAGAACTACTCGCGAATCGTCAACATTTACAAATGACTCATGCCTTCTCCTCGTCACAGGGTAGGTAAAGTTGCTCGTCCCCCCCCGTTCCATTCTTCTTCTTTCCGGCGCTATCGATTATAACGAACTGCTACATTATTCCATCTTCGTGTCTCCATCGTTTAGATCCCACAATTTTTTTTTTAAATTACATTTACTTTGTACATCGATTCGATATAGACTTACAAAAAAAAAAAAAATGAAAAATATGATTTATGACAATTTTATTTGATATTTTATCGAAATTGTAATTAAGAAACGATTTTGTGGAGCAAAAAATTTTGTCACGTAGCTGTGATCCTCGCTCCGTTTCTTTCGCGTCTTCGACTCATTTATAATTAAGCGTTGCCCCTGCGCTTTGACCCAATCACCCCGCATAAATAAACGATCAATCGCAAATGTACCGTTCGAGGGATTCGGACTACATATAACGACTGTTATGCGACGATTATGCAAATTGCCCGGTACTGTGAATAGCCTGGCACGAGCGACGTTCAACGTTGAGAAAGTAATGCGAATTTGTGAAACAAATTGCGAGACGGAGAGACGAGGCTACGTCAGTCGAGAATATTAATAATTACTGTATTTACGCTGTCGATTATTTAATTGTGATTTTTTTTTTTTATAACATCCGTGTGAGAACTGTCGGTAGAATCTTTTGCGAATGATAGAATATTTATGTAACGCTTAAAATGGACATCAATCATTAGAGGAGGAATACATTTTATTTTGTAACTGCTTGCGTTTTGTTCGATTGTAAACAGCCATTTGAACATTTGGGTATTAAATCATTTAGCTTTTTAAATACACGAATTTTGTATAAACGTTCTATTTGAATCATTCATTCATCGATCTCATTCTTCCGTGCGATTGTCATTATTCGATTCATAACGAATGCATCGATTAAGGGGCTAGGATAATCACGTGGCTTTCCTAACGTTTGCCGATAAATCGACGTTTTTCTTCTGTTTTACTGATAATTAACATGGTAAAACAGAGCAAAAAATCGTGAAAAATGGTAGAAATGTGAGGAAAGTCAGGGGACTATCCCAACCCATAAAATTCCATATCGCTTGCCGCTTGGAATTGACGTGAACCGGCGCGCCGGACACGCTTCAACCCTTATCCGTTATTTCGTTTCAGCATCAGCGTGTTGCCGATACCGAGGAGCGTTACGGAAGAGACAGTTTGACCTGCGCTCTGCCTTGAAAGTTACAATTTGTACCGTAGCTTAGCGCGATTATGATTTTACGACACCGTCGAGTGCGACGCGTTCAAACAGGGATCAAAAATGAACAGAAAATTCTACACACACACACCAACCCTCGTCGCACCACTGTTTTTTACTACAACACAGAATTGCGTTCGCAGCGAGTCGTTTAGGTTCACGGTGATCGTGGCCGATATATCAAACAGAAAGTCAATATCAAATATTAGGCGGGAGTACGCGTTAGCGTTTGGTAACAAGCTTTGCGTAGTGACTTGTCTGGGTCAAGTGATCGACTCGATGGGATTAATTTGATGGAACTGCGTTCATTCGATTGCCAGACAGTCTTAATTGATCGACACGAGCGGCCAATCGTCGCCGCAATACAGCCACGATGACTTCGCGGCGGTTGATCGATGTCCCTTTTATGCGCGACTCGGATCTTGATCGATCGTTGACAATTACGTGGAAGAATACCTGCGGGAAAACTTCTATTAAAAAAAAAAAAAAAAAACTGTTAGTAAAGGCTTTACGCCGCGTTTCGCGTAGCGATTAGAACCGTTGTGATACGAATCGATCGATGGCTTCGTCGATCGATTCGACGTTTTGATAGAGACATTGTAACACTACCAGAAGATCGTAGACGAGAGAAGACGAGTAGGTTCGTTTAGCTTTAATCGTACTGAATTTTACAGTTTTTGGACCATCGACTTACTTACCATTAGAGCGGTGCACCGAAGTATCTCAGCTGACGCGAGTCTCTTGGAAAATTGAAAGACGACTTAAGTACTGTCGACCACCCTGCCTCTGAATTTTCGATTCAACTCGTTTAGACTAATCTCAGACTCAACACGAAGATCGTTCTGTGACACGTGAATAAGTTATTATACCTACAGTGAAGTCTATAAATAACCAGATTGCAAAATTGAATAACATTTTTAATATTAGATCCAACATCTTATAATTTTTTGGTGTGTCAGTAGGCTTACAGGAAGTCAAAGGCAAGCCACCTGAATTGTTTCTACTTTTTTGTTTTAAGTAGGGAGAAACGTTATAAACTTAAAAATTGTGGCCTTCGCTTCTGTTTCGTAAATCCGAGCTTCAGAAATTTTTGAACAAGAAGTAATACGCTAAATCTAATATTAAAAAAGTGATTCAATGTTGAAATATGAAAGAACATTTATGGACTTGACTGTATGTACGTACACTGCCGCTAAAAAGTTTGGAGCGTGTCGCAGTTTTGCAAACAAATAATACCTACGATTATCCACCGAATCCGACTGGAAACTGTAACTACACTTAATTCTATACTATAAATGATTTTAACGTGACGTTTAAATGGAAATTTCCACCAAGTTAGGTATTCACATTTTCCTTTTCGAACGACGGAAAGTGCTCCGAATTTTCAAGCGGTCAGTTCAAATACAAAACGCATCCGAAATGGGACGAGAGAAACAATTTCATTAGCGCTCATACGCGAGCTGATTTCAAGACTGGACAAGCAATACGAATTAACTATGCTGTCACGTTGTATAGGGGCAACTCCCAGGATACGGAGGAGGGTTCACTAACTCTAGGCACTAGAACCTTAGGTCGATACGTGTTCTATCGTAGAGACTGTTTAAATGTACAAATTAACTGGATAAATTAGTGCTTTCGTAGCGATTTTTATTTATGCAGTTACATTACGTGGACTTTTGCTTGTTCCAATTGTGACGAGTTACTTGTCGTTACTTTGATTACGCAGGATAGGTCGATGTGACGCGTTTCAGTTCTCGTTTTCATTTATGTACTACTAAAAACAATTATGGTATCACGGTATTGGAAATTGCCAAAGTTCGTAAAATTATTAATTAGCAATGAATTAGCATAGGACGATCATTTTTCTTTTAAAACACTTTCGAGATATGTTCGATTTGTTAAAATTCTACGATAGAAAACGCTTGAATCTAAGAAGATGAAAATTAAAAAAATTATCGAAGTACGACAATGTGCACAGACTCTGATAACTCTTTTGCAGCGATGGTGTTTATGACAAATGAAAACATGATTCTGTATCTTTAATTTAGAAGGAAAATCTCCAAGTTTTAATTGTCTTACGATGATTTGTTGCTAATTTTTAATTTGGACAATTTTCCATACAAACGTGATACCAGAATTTTTTTTAGGTAGTGTAGTTTCGTAGCGAGTTTAACGAGAAATCGCGCTTTATCGCTGAAGTTTATCTATAAAAAAAGGAAATATGAATGCAAGTTACACGTGTATAACCAATTTTTGATGAAAAACGAAATTAATCGCGTATTTGTATGTATGTATGTACCGTGATCGAATATAATTTTGTGATGATTTTACGAAACTGGAGTGTTAGGAACGGTTCACGCAAGGCTTTTCATAGTTCATTCAGAAGTTAACTAATGAATGGAGTAAACATTTTCTTGGAACGTATTTGTTTAACGTTCGGGGACAGTTTGTATCGTTTCAATAATTGCTTATTGTTCGAACGCAGTGATCTTGTTACTGTAATGGATGCGTATGATTATTTTTCGCCATGAGATTTTTATGACGTCTTTCGGAAGCGAGTTTGTTATAAGAAGTTGAACCAGTAGTGGTTGTATACTTTATTATTATACGATCACACATTTTGTATAAATGGTAATCACTGAATAGATTATCAAACAATTTAACGATGGTTATGCATATTGCCTTTGTACCGAACGAATGTTTGTAAAACGAAACGCTTTCAATATTCCTATAAACATCTTAATTTGTTCGGGAGAGTATACGAGAAGGAGATCTCATTTCTATAGCTGTCATATTGTAAAACTATATAGATTTCGACATTACGCATAAAGTTAGAAGGTTCGAACTTGAATAAGTGTATTCAAGTAACGTTAGAGGATTAGAATTGTTTTTTTAGATTCGATGATAAATGTATTGTACATATTTACCTGGTTTATATCGTACCCTATATTACTGGAAAAACGTGTTCCCACATATTTGATACTGTCTGAGACTTGTCAATTTTCAATTAGCTTTAGCGAGGAAAAGTAGAATAGCAGAATTGTTTTTTTTTTCTCATATGCGTGTATTTTTTTTTTAATTTTTCTGAGGAGATTAGAACTACGTAGACGAACAGCTTTGAACGATCAGAACGAATTCAATGTAGCCACGACTCCGTGAGAAATGTTGTACATATATATGTTATGTATGTACACTAAACTTACATTTGAATAAAACCGCAGATAAATATCGATATTAGCCGAGTGTTCTCATTTCATCCATGCAACTCTGGCTTAGTAATGGGCACTATCGACTAATTCAAAGTATCGACTACCTAGGGAATAATCGCAACGTACTATCTACTAATTAGTCGATAGTTTTGAAATATCGCTCTCGTGGTTATGCCTCTATAATAAATTAATGGAAACTAAATGCATCTCAGAATTCTTATTTCGCGATCCTTGAATAAATATAATCCAAAGCAGTTATCATGCATTACTTAGTACGGTAAAACTACCGAAGCGGAAAACGAAAACATAACATTGTCTAAATGAACATCTATTGAAATCAATTTCCTCTGTTTCTAATTTATTCATCTCTAATTTATTGTAAATATATTGAATAATTCTGATTAATATATTAATGGAAATGAATATTGGCATTTTTATTTCATGTTCCTTGACCAAATGACTAATCCCTGTTTTCGAAGTGCAATTCTTCAACGAAATACTAAA